GGTGGGGGGGGGTGGGGGCATGAGTGACCACAAGATGAACATGAGCCTTCAATGTGGTGCTGTGGATAGTAAAGCAAGCAAAACGCTAGCTTGCATCCATAGATGCTTCTCAAGCAAATCCCAGGATGTCATTCTCCCGTTGTACTTGGCCTTGGTGAGGCTGCAGCTGGAGTATTGCATCCAGTTTTGGGCTCCACAATTCAAAAAGGATGTGGAGAAGCTTGAAAGAGTGCAGAGGAGAGCTACGTGCATGATCAGAGGTCAGGAAAACAGACCTTATGATGAGAAGCTGAGAGCCATGGGTCTCTTCAGCCTGGAAAAGCACAGACTCAGGGGTGATCTGGTGGCCACCTATAGGTTTATCAGGGGTGCTCACCAGGATCTGGGGGAATGTCTGTTCACCAGAGCACCCCAAGATGTGACAAGGTTAAATGGTCACAAACTCCTCCATGAACATTTCAGGCTGGACATAAGGAAGAACTTCTTTACTGTCCGAGCCCCCAAGGCCTGGGACAGACTGCTGCCAGAGGTGGTTCAAGCACCTACTTTGAACGCCTTCAAGAGAAATTTGGATGTTTATCTTGCTGGGATCCTATGACCCCTGCTGACTTCCTGCCCCGGGGAAGGGGGCTGCACTCGATGATCTTCCGAGGTCCCTTCCAGCCCTAATGTCTATGAAATCTCTGAAGCCCTTTGAGAAACCTAAGCATATGGAAAGACATGCACGTGAAGCACAACAAATCCTTCCCTAATATGAATGTCTAATTCAGTACTATACACACATTCAGGCCCCATCCCTGATGAAGAACTTCATAAAATGCTAGAGCTGTTGCTCTGGTGCTACTCCACAGCCAGAGGTTTTGCATGTGGCCTGCCAAGCCGTTTTCTGAGGCCCACAGTGCTGCAATGGGAAACAAAAGTAAACACTGTTTACTTCCGTTCTCACCCCTTGTCCCTACCCCAGGCCCTCAGCAACTTCCTAATGGCTGCTGAAGGACTAGGGAAGGGACAAGGTTCCCACATGCACCGCATCAGCTTGATGTTGATGGCATTACTGAGAGGGGGGAGGCCGGGTCCGCTGCCGACAGGGGGCACCTGACCCATCTCCGCCGCCGCCGGCA